ACCACCAAGTGTTACTAGGTACTGACGCTAAATTGACTTCGAATGCAGACCAAAATAGGAAACATACTTTTGAGGATCGAACATAATTTAAATTGGCGAGATACGAAACAATTGTAGTTAAATTAAAACAAGAGAAATAAATTAATTATGCTCACATTATAAAAATAAATAATTATAAATAAAATATATATTCAAATAATGGTTTAACCCATCTCAAGACACCCAATGCACCATCAATATCAAGTCTTTGGACAGTAATATTAACTGCTAGAGGTATCTTGTTGTAATAATTAAACATTGACAATAAAACACGTCTAACAACAAATCAGTCTTTGGATTGATTTATCATCGACAAAGCAAATCCTTATAATTATCACATGTTTATCATTACAGGTGTGTATGTAATTCGGCCAAATATTAATATTCCTTTGGGCCGACTAATACTCGCATGAATATACACAAACACTAACATTCAATATTTTTTACGAACTACCCAATTCAAGAGATGTTACTTTGGTAACTTCTTGACTCAATTTGCTCACAAAAATATTAAACTACCAAACAAATTGAATATATTAATAAGGGTAACCCTAAACCAAATTAAGTCTCAAGTACCACTTCTAAACAAAATTTGTACTATAATGCCATGTATGATGGCTTTTTAATTAAGGTAGCGGGTCCCACGACATTAACATTATCAGATTCTCTTATTAATTAAGGCAGCGGGTCCCACGTTTTCTTAGGTCCCTTATTGATTTCTCAGCAGAAGCCAAATCCTGGCCGCAACCTTCTGATCTGGAGTCAGACGCGCTACCATTGCGCCACGAATCCTTGTTCGTCGATTCCGATGACCAGAAGAAGAAGTTCCTCTCCAATTTCGCCATGCTCCAGCACCAATCCTTATACCCACGCACATCCTAAGGCCAATTCACCAAATGCAATAATCAAGTCATGGTGGTGGGCATCCTCACGATCCAACGTCATCCAATTAAGAGTGCAATTCGGATACAATCCCGATCCTGAACCTTGCACTCCAATGGGATTGGGAAAACCTTCAATGTCTCTCCAACAATTGTTGCCATCTATGTTGCAGACTTTGGCATGAGAGTATCTGATGGAATTACTCAGGAGATCAATAGAAGCAAGCATTAATACCACCTTGTAAACATCGCGTAGAGCATCGAAGCCAAACGCAACTTTGCAATAAAATTGATCGGCCGAACAAACAGGAAAGGGGCATTCCTCTGTTTCTCTGGTGGCGAGGTTACACACTTGGAACATGTGAGGTCCGGCCAAACCCAGCAGTCCATTGCAGGTTCCAATAACCCCGAACAAGCCGCTAAGATCGTATTCGAGGGCGCGATCATGGACATCAAACGACACTTTGTCTTCCATAATACGGATAGGGCAGGAAAAGATGAAAGGAGGATTCACATTGTCGGTGCTTAAGCACTGAACCAGCGTTCTCTCGCTCAATTTGGGAATTTGGGAATTTACCCCAAATTCGAAACTAGGTTTAAAATTTGAGAATTTACCCTCAAATTTAAATTTAGGGTTTACAAAAATTGGAGATTATTCTCCACTTAGGGTTCTGAATTGAATAGAATATTTGATAAATGTAATTTCCAAAAACAAACATGAATCAAGTATGAGTTGCTCTGATACCAATTGTTGGGTTAAACTGATAATTAAATATGATCTTCTTCCTTATGATCAAACATATATATATATATATAATCTCATACTGTAAACATGTTATGAACTAAATGCGAAAGTGTACCTGAATTAACCATAATGATGATATTCTTTGTAGAGCACCTTTGATTTGATCTTATGGTCTTCCACCTGAAGAACACCTGTATTTCCCTATGGATTTTCTCTCTTGATGGGGATAGAAAGAAAAAAAAACGGGACTGTAATTACGTTCTGTCTACGTGCTCCCAGAAGGGAACCATGACCCCTTAAAATAACCAAAATTAGGTTAATTACTTAAGTTTTAGTATTTCTAATTTGGTCCCTCATCAAATTAGAAATTGTTTTATGGTCTCTACACAATTTTATTTTCATGACATATGCCTTTAGCCAAACCTTTTTAATTTAGTCAGATCACTTTATTATTTGGCTTAATAAATAATGACCCTAACACATTTAAATATGTATTATATATATACATTACCCAAATTTTGTTAACAGACATGTCATAATTTCCTTATCATATAAGTACACAATCCATTGATGAAAATCTGATTATGGCCGGAGAAAAAGCTCGTTCCCTTTTGATCTAAAGGAGGAGTGAATGAATTTAATGGTGAAAATGACATCTTTGGTTTAAAGAGAAAGGGAAGAGAAGAAAGGAGAAATACTAAATTTTTTTAATTCTATAATTAAATAAAACTATTAAATTAAAGACAATATAACTTAATAAATGTAAAATTTTATCTTCCTTTTAAGTTTTCTAATTTTGGAAGAGTTAAATTTAGGTGAGAAAAAAAATGTTATTCCTTTTCTCTCTAAAAGCATATAAATTTATAGTGTTTCATCGTACTTATTATACCACGTATATACGTATATATAAATATTCGCTTAAAAAAATATTCTTGAGACTAAATGATGATCTTTAAATTTAAAAAACTAATCACCGAAATAATTACAAACTTAATTAAAAATTAGAGAAAAATCTAAATTTAAATTAACTAAAATCTTGATGATTAATTTTGAAGACTACTTAATGACAAGTTGGGAAAGCTATTAATAATAAACCATAATTTAAAGACTAAAAATCCTTAATTTTTATAATAGTTTCTAAATCAATTAATATAAAGTTAATTTTTTTGTTTTTAAGAATTTTATAATTTTTTTAAGCATGCATGTCAATCTGACACTCGTTGCATAAAAAGTGATAGACGTGGAATGAGAAAAATTAGATAACAAAACCAATAACGTGAGCCTTGGATGTTGCTTGCACCAACCGAGGAAGGAACAAAAGTCGATGCTCTCTACCTGAATCACTAGGTTTATTGTATTTTAGGTCAAAGTTTTCTACTACGATTATAAAGCTTGTTTTAGCTGGGGATTAATTATTAATAGTTTTAAATTAATATACATTTGATGGTTATTATTTTTTCTTATCTTTAATAAAGTTATATTTTTCAAATATTAATCAATATTATTTTTTACCTTACATAAATAATCTTTTTATTAATATTAGTAATAATTTTTTATAGATTTTAAATATGATTTTTTTACATAAAGATTATTTTCAGTTAATATGATTACTTTTTAATTAATGTTAATTAGGACTATTTTGACATATTAAGATTTAGTGACTAATTTTATGAAAAACATTAGTTGAATTTTAAAAGACTTTTTAATATAAATTAATACTTTTCTTTGAATAATAGATGATAAATTATGTAACAATCGTTATCTAAAATCTTTAGTAAGATAGATCAAGTAAAAGAAAAAGGTAAGAAAGAACAATAATACACATAAAATCTCGTGAAAACCAATCATAAGAAATCATTAACTTTCTTAATCAAGATTGTAATCTTAGTAAAACTTTATAAGCAAGATATCACCCTAATCCCACCGAGTAATTATACACATACAAGAAAAAGAAATACAATTACCTGATATAATTTTATAAGCAAGACAATAAAAAATTAACTAGTGATCAATAGTATGATCAATTTTTTTTGTAAAGAAAATTTTTTTAGTCACATATAAACTTGATGTACTGCACTTATTTTTTAAAAAATCAAAAGCTCTCCCATTTCATACGTCAAAATTGTTTTCCTCTCTATTTTTTTAAATGCTTTGAAAATGTGTAATTACAATCCAATTAATTTAAACAAAATAACTATTATTTTTTTTCTATTACAACTATGGTAAATGTTTCACATTATATAAATAAGGTGTTAAAGATATTATTTTGGGTCATGTATATATATGATACATAATTTAAATATATTAAGGTCATTATTTATTAAGTCAAATAATAAAGTGATCTGACTAAATTAAAATTTTTGGCTAAAGACATATGTTATGAAAATAAAATTGTGTAAAGATCATAGAATAATTTCTAATTTGATGAGGGTCAAATTAAAAATACTAAAACTTAAATAATTAATCTAATTCTGATTATTTTAAGGTTCGTGATCGTCTTGGATAAGTACGCACAAAAAAGTAAGTTTCATTTATTTCTTTCTATTACCTTCAAAATAAAATATGCAGAAAGAAATACAGATGGTGTAACTCTGTAAATAATATCATCATTACGATTAAGGTATGTTCTCAAATTATAATATGTTTATGAGTATAAAATTATGTTTATATTAGATAGTTAAAATCAAAATCACCGTCATAATAATTAATTATAATTTACTTACAATTGTTAGCAGAGTCTCCCATTGTTGATTCATGTTTCTCTTGAAAATTAAATTTAACAAAATTCAGATATTCTGTTTAAATTGAGAACCTGGGAATTGAGAACCTGGATGAAGAATAATCTCCAATTTTGTGAACCCTAAAATTAAATTTGGGAGTAAAATTGCCGTGAGTTCAGCTACACACGGTCGCCGGTGAGGAATCTCCAGCGACACCGCGAGGTTCCAGTACACGAATAAACAGGGGCATAGGTCGGCGATCAGATCTCGCGGATTGTGGCGGAGAGGCTGCGGCTTGGGATGAAGGACGCACGATCCTAGTAACCGATAGGAAGGGAATGCGTTGATTAAATCTCTTACATTACGTTAAAAAAGCAGAAGCTGCAAATTCTGTGCGTGCGCATTTAACGCTAGAAAACGTGAATCAAAATACGGTTCAAAACACTAATTTCCAGTTGCAAAATCCTATAACCAAACGGGAAGAGCAGAAACTTGGTCGTCCATGAAATGGTAATTTCCACGGTGCCCACTATAACCTTAAACCTAAAACATCACTCGTCAAATCCACATGCCAACTCCAATGATCCCCATATTGCACGTTGAACTCCATTGACCATGTCATCAGGCTCTCCCACTGTACCCAAAACCCAAATGTGTACCTTTACACATCACTCACTCATTGATGGGTTTGTGTCCTTTGGCTCTTACGCTAATGCCGTCAACTTGTTTGGTCAAATGGTTCGTGGGCGTGTTTCGGCTGATAGCTATGCAGTCACTGCGGTGTTGAAAGCCTGTGTGCTTCAACGAGCCTTGAGAAGTGGCAGAGAGGTTTATGGGCTTGTTTTGAAATGTCGGTTGTGTTTGGAAAGGTCCATAGCGTTGAAGCGGGTTAAGTTGTACGGGAAATGTGGGTGCTCGAGGATACGTGGAAGGTGTTCTAGGAAATGTCTAAACAAGATGTTGTTGTGTGTACTGATATGATGGGTTTGTCTTCGGCCCATGATATATATATATATATATATATATATATATATATATATATATATATATATATATATATATATATATATATATATTTTTGATGGTTTAATATATTTTTTTGAATAAATTGAGTTTATCAAAGTAACTTCTTTTGAATTGAGTAGTTAATGAAAAATATTAAATGTTAGTGTTTGTATATATTCATATGAGTATTAGTCGGTCCAAATGAAGGTTAATATTTGGTCGAACTGCATACACATTTGTAATGATAAACATGTGATAATTATAAGGATTTGTTTTGTCAATGATAAATCAATCCAAAGACTGATTTGTTGTTGGACGTGCCTTATTGTCAATGTTTGATCATTATAACAAGATACCCCTAGCTGTTAATATTACTGTCCAAAGACTTGATATTGATGGTGCATTGTGTTAGACAAATGGCATCTAGAGGGAGGTGAATAGATGCACATATTAAAATAGATGTCAAATTAAAAATTTATTTTAAATAAGAACAGTCACACCTGGGTAATAGAGACAAAAAATTGTAGAAGCTCGTAGAATGTCAACCTCCAAGAACAAATGTGATTAACAATGAAAGCACAAAAGACAATGGAGAAGAGAGTTTTCTCAAAACATGTAAAATATCTCTATTACCTTGCTCAAAATTCTTTTCTCAAAACTGATTGAATTTAAATTGTATTTTCGAATTCTGTAATTGTGTGTTTTTGATTTTGTACTTTCCATTAGAAGACACTGAATTTTCCAAACTTGTAAAAAATACATATTGGAAGTAGGATAACTTGTAGCTGAAATTAAAGTAGTTATATCATGACTATTATTCTTCCACCATTGTAGAACATCCATATGTTCTATAAAATCAAAATTCAATGTTGGCTCATCCAAATATACATCAAGTTGGTTTCTTCCAATTCTAGATGTAGCTTGAAGCTTGTGCTTTTTTAGTTCCTAATATGATAACTAAATAAAGAGTTAAAAATATTATATGAAAATTCATAAAAAATAATTGGCTTAAAGTAAGGATGAAATATTAACATGTTTGCGCTTCAGAACATTTGAAATTGTACTTTTGCTACAATATTGAGAGAAAAATATGTACAATTTTTTCTTTATTTTCTCAAACTTTACTTCACAAGTAAGTGGATCAATTCTTTCATAACAGAATCTTAATGTTTCCAACTTCATCCTTGGTCTAAAATTGCACCAAATGCAAGTATAACACTATTCATCCCAATATTTATCAAATTTCATCCTCATTTTTTAAACCATGTCCCTTACAACTTCATCTGCATCTTTTACACTTTCCATTAGAAGACACTGAATTTTCCAAACTTGTAAAAAATACATATTGGAAGTATGATAACTTGTAGCTGAAATTAAAGTAGTTATATCATAAAATGGTAACAAGAAAACACTAATCTTTTTTGCTCTTTTCTATTCTTCTTCCGAAGGACAATACTTATAATTTTCATCCATTAGTTGTAAGCTTCCAAAAACACGTTGGTATTTAAGAGCACTTTGAAGCATCATATAAGTTGAATTCCACCTTGTAGGAACATCTAAGCACAACCCACTTGAAATATCAATGTCATCAAAATTTTGAAAGTATTGTTTGAATTTAATCATTCTACTCTCTGAACCTTTAACATATTTGATGTTCTTCCTGATTTGATCCAATGCATTACCAAGTACCTTCAATCCTTCTTGAACAATCAAATTTAAAATGTGTGCACAACAATGCACGTGAAAGAATTCACCATCACATATCAACCAATGTTGCAAAACAAGTTGACTTTTTAATGTCTTTTGCAAAACATCATTACCAGAAGCATTATCCAAAGTAATAGAAAAAAATCTTTTTCTCTATTCCCTAATCATGCAAAAATTCATTTATCTTCTTAAACAACTCAAATCCAATTTGAGGTGGAGTTAAATGGCAAAAGTTAAGAATCTTACTACTTAACTTCCAATTTAAATCAACATAATGAGCTGTTAAACTTATATAACCTTCAGTAGTACAAGATGTCCATAAATTATAAGTTTAACAAATCCTACTACAAATGATAGTCAACTGTTCTTTAACTATATTATTTTCTTTCATAAATATTCTCAATACATCACTCTTAGCAGTATTCCTAGAAACTAACATTGCATCAGGATTCAAATTACTTATCCAAGTTACTTATCCAAGTCCTAAGCTCTGGATACTCAACAAATTTAAAAGGTAAACCATGTCGAATAATTAAATTAGCACACAACTCATGAGACCAAGTGGCGGATCTTGACCATTGATCTTGGGGGGCAAATAATATATTATTAATAAATAATAAATAAATATAAAAGGAAGAAAGAAGATGAAAGGATAAAAGGATAAAATTGTAAATATATACTTAAATATATTAAATGATCATTAAGTAAAAGAGAGATTAAATCATAAATTATATGAGAGTTACAAAACTAAGGAGGGGATGAGAGGATAAAATTGTAAATATACAAGTAAATATATTAAATGTTCATTAAGTTTGGGGAGGGGGGGCAAAATCATAAATTACATGGTCCCAAGAAGATCCGCCACTGCATGGGACACCATCTGATCTATTTTTTTTTACTTCAACTTCCCTTGCATGTTTAAAATCATTTGACTCACATCTTCAGTTTTGATCTTGTCACATTTTTCAATATGATGCTTTAAGTGAGAAGTTCCATAATTTTTTCCACTAATTATGTATTTTGTATTACAACCATTACACACAACTTTTTTCTTTTCCCTCCTTACACACACCAATCCTAGTAAAAAACTTCCAACAATTAGATGTATATGAGATTTATCCTTCTTGATGTCTGACTTAACATTTTCATATTCATTTTTATTTTCAATATGTTGAAACTTAACCTCATTCTCAATTTTATTTTCATTGACGACATCATCAAGACCACAAGTAGGTTTACTAATTGAACCATCCATTTCCTGTTTAAAATTAAAAAAAAAACTTCATAATTTTTTCTTACACGATATTTCAACAAAAGCACAAATAGAAAAACATAATAAATGAGTCGTGAGAGAGAAAAAATACTAAGAGAAAAAATGAAACCTTAAGAAAGTAATAAATATTAAAGAGAGTAAAAAAGTATGAGATATATATGATTTTTACCTTATGAAGAAGGAGGAGCAAGAATGAGATGATGAGTAAAAGGAGAGGAGAGAAAGAAGGGTTTGTGCTTGAGAAAGGAAAGTGTTTCCCGTAATGAGTTTAAGTAATTATAAATTTTTTTGAATTCTCTTAGTAATGAGATACTTGAAACTTTATGAATTTTCTTTATGAGACAAGTGAGACTTTTAAAATTATCTTTTCATAAATTTTTATATTATATATTACCTTTCCGACTCTTTGTATTATATCACAATAAAAAAATTATTAGTAAAGCGGGTCGTGGGCTGGCTCGTCCCGCGAAGTGGCGAGTTTAGCGGATCGGGCCAAAATAGGTCGACGGTCTGAAAATACTAACCCGCCTCGCCATATTATGACGGGCCGGACCACCGTGCTCGACCCGTTTTGTCATCCCTAACTATATAGTAGCTGGGTTTTCTTATTTCGAGAAAATATTATTATTGTTTTCACCTTAAATTTAAAGAAAGTATTATAATTTCTTCCGGTAATAAAATTTTATTATTATTTATTGTCTATTTTTTTTTTCATCTTTTATTTTAATTGTGTAATTACTCTGATTCCTAACATTATAAGAGTCATTCAATATTATAAAAGTATTATTAAAAGTTATAATATCATGTCCCATATTTCTATTATAAAATACTGAAGTAAATCGATAGACAAAAATCAGTTTTCTTTTTGGTGGTTTGAGTAGTGTTAAAGCACACACGTTAACGAAAACATAAACCATTTATGTGTCACAAATATTGATCATTAATGGGAAGCAACTGCATGATGATAAATTAGCCATTGTCTGAACATGGCATGCTTGAGTTTGGCCACCTAAATGCTAAAGCCAAAACATCGAGTGCATGGCACTACAATTCTAAAAGTGGATGTGTGCCCACATGACTCATAAAACATATTGTTAAAGCATACACAGACAAACGAAAATCCATGCTAAAACTTCAAATTTTACTCCAAATATCCACTCAGCAGATGTATTTTTCCACTTTCAAACGTGTTATCGATTCTCCTCTCCTTTTATGTATAGAATCACACGGAATTTTTTGAAGGCTTTATTCAAAGTTCTCATGATTTTCTAATTGACTTTAATTTTTTCAACCATTTATATATATATATATATATATATATATATATATATATATATATATATATATATATATATATATATATATATATATAGTGCCAAGGCCTTTTGTTTTCACTGTCATCTCCCTAAAATATTATATAGTTTGGGATTACTAATGTTCAAACTAGAATTTAGATTTATTTAAAGTAAATTTTGTAAAAAAAACGTATAAAGTAATTTTTTTCCACTGATATATTTTACTTTTACGAGGTTCTACTTTAATCTATGCTGAAATTTTAAATTTATCACTTTATTTTCATAGAATGATTGTATGCTGTGGTTGGTAACTACAATGGTTGATTTTTTTTTTCGTTCAAAAACTCGGTAAATTTTTAATATAATTATATTTGAAACTCTCTCATCCAATTTTGTTTCGTTTTTTTTTAAAGAAGTCTCACTAAATTAAAAGAAAAATATATAAAAATTATTTAAACCTTTAACTCTTAAGAATTATGAACGTATAAGAAGAGTGAACTCATTTGATGCAGCGCAAATACATATCATTGCTCTCTTTACGTAACAAGCAAATTTCCATGCAAATCAGTAAACCACTGCACTCAGCTACATAAAGACTCTTTGGTGGTGAAAAGCAAAAAAAAAAAAATTCTATATCATGCTTTTTGGTCCTGTGTTAAAGGATTGATACTTTGCTCCATTCAATACTGTTTCTGGTGAAATTTTGATTAATTTCGATTCTTAAGAGGCTTTGATTCTAACCAAAACTCAACCACATAGGTTCTTTATACTTAGGCTAGCAACTGAATTTCAATCGAAATGCGTATGAGAATCGAAAGTACCATTGTATAGAAAATACTAAGATTAATAATCGAAAGCACTATTTTTGGTATTTTGTATTTGAAGTATTCGAAATAAGGGAAAACAATAAAGTGATAAATCGAAAAACAGTGCCGAATGTAAAACTGCGAAGAAATATTAAATTGCAGAAAATGTAAAGTGCAGAAACCTTAAAATTTTCATTAAATGTAACTTGCAAGGAACCGAAAATTGTAGGATTGTAAATAAAAATCTAACTTTGCAGAAAAATAGACAACAGGAAATCGAAATTGCGTTAATATAAATGACAAAGAATTTAAAGGCAGAAACTTAACTTTCATTAAAGAACAACGACAAGGAATCGAAAATATAGAAACTTAAAGTTGTTAAACATAAACTGCATCAAAGTAAATTACCAGGGAAAATAAAGAAAACGGTAAAGGTAATTACTGAACATGGAAATCCAGATCGCCAGAAACTTCATGATGTTCGTCGTTCTCCGGTAGACTTCCTCACTAGTGTTTCTGTTCTTCTCTCTGCCAATTTCCCACCTTTCCCTTTTCATCTTTCGTTCTATTTATAGATCATCTTTCAAGTAGCCTCTTAGGAGCAGTTAACGAAAACTGCTACCACGTTCTTCGTGCACGTTGCAGTTTCTTCTTCTGTGGTATCAAAACTGCACCCACGTTCCCATGATCTTCGACCTCTGCCACGATTTAGAAACTGCTTCCTATGTGCGCGTTTAACTATTCTTCTCTTTATGATCTGGCCAAGATTTCGATATTTACGCAGTTTAGCCTTCCCCTCAATTTCGATTTTAAAATTTCGAGAACTTTGAATTTGCTTTCGACCTTAACCTTAACGTCATATACTTCTAATTTCTTGGTTTTATTCAACAAATAGACCTTTAACTATTATTCCTTCGATTCTCGATTCTAACTCTCGATTTTATGTGCCACGCACTTCTAATTAGACATCGAATGGTTTTTCATCCATCTTTTCGATTCATCAATCAATCACATGTTTCTCGAATTTTTTTTTATTTCCTTCGTTTTTCGATCACTTTTCTCGATTTTCCACTAACAAAAATGCCCCCTTGGAAGAATATAAATAGTTTCCGTTTATATTCTTTCAACATGATTCCCGCCTTGGTGTTCGGAGGCCCACAAAACTTAGGGTTTAGGGTTTCTGGGGTTTTAGGGTTTACAGGGTTTTTAGGTTTCTTTTTGTTTTATGTCGCCATCGCATCAGTCTGCTGCCTTACTGTACACGCCACATTAATTACCCTTCGCCTCCGTCGTTTCCAGTACCCTAGGTAGCTTTTCCTTTAAACACCTTGTTAGTCTTTTACCCTGGTTTTTTACGCGAACTTTTTACCTCTCCTTTGCAACTTCATCTTCTACTTTGCGCCTTTGTCTTCAACCTTGCATCCTCACCTTCTATCTTCTGCTTTCCTCTACTCTCCTGAAATGGCAACCTCTTCCAAATCTTCTGATTTTTCGGCCCCACCCCTTCCCTCGTTGGCGTCTAGCCTGCTGGAGATCAATAATCAGAAGTTTGCTCCAGTTCCTCTAATGGAGGAGGCTTCTCAGAAGGTCGCTGAGACGCAGGTACTCATCCCTTATACTGCTGATGGTATCAATTTTGCTTTTGGGGGTCCTATTCATTCTTGTGGTGGAACTTTTTCTTCCCTCAACCTTTCTTCAAAGAGCTGGGTTCTCATTCACCAATCTGAAATTCGAATTGATTTCTTGAATAACGTCTCTAGAGTATACCGAACGGGCCCCCCCTCCAAAAAATCCTTGTACATTAGGTGGTTTGATAGGGTTAAGGCTAAGTTTGGGAACCATTGGATGAATGTGGGGATTTTCGATTTTTTGCATTTGTCTCGATGCGACTTGTCATTTTTGGATATGGCTATGTTTCTATCTGCGGTACATTTGTGGAATAAAGACCTACATGCGTTAGAACTCCCTTGTGGTCCCCTTTCGCCCACCCTGTTCGAAGTCGCTGCAATTACTGGTCTGAAACCCTCAGGGGAGAAGTATTATAAGGGTGCTTTCCCTTCAGATAATTCCCTAAGGTCCAAAATTGATTGGGAATCGAAAGCCTATGGTCATTTTCTCGAGAAGCATTTTGTCGATGACCCAACAATTGCTGTTTCAGATGAGGAGCACATTGCCTTTTTAGTGTACTGGTTGTGCACTCATGTCTTCTGCCCCCGATCCATCCAAATTTCGTCCCACCTTTACAACCTTGCGTATCTCCTTCATACCGGCCAGCCTAGAGTTTGTCTAGCCAAATTTTTGTTAGCCCATGTATATACTGCTTTCGATGAGGCCGTCGAAATTTTGAGTACCCCCAAGGCTTCAGGAAATTTTTCGGGTCCCATTTGGTTTATCCAACTATGGCTGAACTCGATTTTCGAGAGTATCCTTCCCCCAACCTCTAACATCCCCTCAAGTGTAAATATAGAGGGCGCTCAATTAGTTTCTCGACATCCCAACCACAAGCCTGACGAGGCAACTTATTGTAAATACCTTAAATTTTTGTTAACTCGGTTTTATTTTGATTCGACTTTGGCTCCTTTTACTGTGCATCTTGGACGAATAAGTGACCAACTTCGAGGGTCAACTTGGTTTAAGTCAAAATTCCCTGCCTTAACTCCTGGGTTACAATCAGAGCTGGTCGATGTGTGGAGTAATTATTTGACTCAGGATGTATTAGTATCGGGTTTTCACTCCAAGGATTTCAAGCTTGTCACCTATTACCCCCAAATTTTTTCGAGACAATTTGGTTTGAGTCAATCCTTACCTTTTTTTCCCCCTCGATACCTACCCTAGGTCCAAGTTAAGTGAATCAACAATTGGATTGGAGCTGACCAGACTGCTACCAAAAACCCCGATGCATTTTTATCCCTATGCTTTTGAATCTAATTATTTATCAACTATGGGTTTCTCTCAATGGTGGGCCGATTGGTTCTCGAGTAATCATTCTGCTTTTGACGAAGTCCGACAAAAATTGACTGCTCATCCTTCTCTTGTGTTGCAGGACAAATCGAAAGCGAAGAAAGGTACACACTTCCACTGTCTTCAAATATCTCGATTCGAGAATTTTTATCGAATATGTTACAATCCCTTAAAATTAGAATCGACCTTCTATGATGCTGTTATTTCCTTAGCCAACAAAACAGACATTAATCGATCAAACCACAAAATAATCAATCCTCGAGGAAAAACCCCTTTTGAAATGTATTGTCCCGATCACCTTCCCGCTTTTCCCACAGCTCCTTTTGGACTTGCCAAATCTTTAACTCATCCTAAATGGGTTCGAGAATTGAGATCCCTAAAAGAAACTCTTCGTCCCAAACCAAAAAACAAAGATATTTCTGTATCGAAATTGTCCTATTTCCCTTATCTACACCTTCCTCAAATTCTTCTTCCTCCCTGGCTTGTACATATCGACCGAGTCAAGATTTTGACTCCATCACCTTTTGGTGAGATCTTGCTACCTTTTTTAGGAATATTTTTAATTTTTTTTATATTATAAGCTAACTGTTTTCTTTTTCGACAGTTTCAAAATCCTCTAAGACTGTTGTCGCCGAGAAGGAGAAGGAGTGGGAGTCCTCGGATGAGTCAGACCCATCGGCCTTCGTTAGGAAACGCAAGCACTCAGCCACCATTTCTTCGTCTTCGAAGAAATCGAAGGTTCATTTCGATTCCTTATTGTCTTGTCTATCTTTTTTGTCTATAGCCGATTCACTTGGATTCTAACATATTTCTGTTGTCTTTCGATTTCTAATTTCAGAAACAAAAATCGAAGAGTCCTCGATCCGTTCAACCATCTACCATTAATCCATTATCGACGGACTCCAACACAGTCACTAAAGTGGGTCGAACAACACCCACCACACATTCGAGTCACGTAAGTCCCTTTTTTACATAATTTTATATTCCTTAGGTTTCGATCAGACCCATTTCATGAT